GCTGACCATTGTGATAATGCTTCAGCTTTTAAAGGAAATCAAAGCTCTGAAACAAGAAAACAAAAACTTGAGACAGGGCAAGGAAAAATGAAAAGGGCCTGTCTTTGCCGAGATACTAGTGCTGCCATTAGTGTTAAAGTAACGAGCGAGCAGATTCAATATCAGGACATCAGTGCTGAGAACTAGAGTGGGCTTGTCAGCACTGACAGCAGTGAAGAGCACTACCACAATCCCTGTGACACCGAGTCAGCCCCCCAGATGCATCCGGCACAACAACCAAGGGGACTGTGCTAAGAAGTGGAACAAAGCTAAGTCATACTCTTTGACATGGTTAAAAGTACTTTTAAGCTTAGGGCAATCATTTGTAACAAAATCTATAATCATATAATTCACATCATGGAATATGCGTAGTATTAAGCCTAGGCTGAGTGAGCTAGTTTTATATTCGTAAATATAATATTGATGTGATTTACTTGCAAGAACCTTTTGCTGCTATGATGAAAATTGCACCTTTAATTAAGGGATAGGCTAGCATAGATGAACAAGGTACCGGTCAAAATTAATGCTAAATGAACATGTTTGGTGTACAAAGTCTAGAAAGGTTTACTCCAGAAAAATCGGCTGGTGGACTGTGGGCACCAGACGCCCCCAAATATGGACCGTCGACCCCCTGGGGCTCATCTAGGCTAGCCTAGATATTGGAGATACCAGCTGCAATCAGGTTTATATGGTGAATGACATCCTAGAGAAATGAAATTGACCAACTCCAGACGTGTTGATGCGTGGGTGGGCCCTACCAGACCCCCAAACTGGACCCACTGCCCCATCTAGACTACCCTGGATATTGGAGGTACCAGCTGCAATCAGATTTATATGATAAATGACATCCATAGAAATAGAAAATAACCAAATCCAGACACATTAACGAATGGGTGGGCCTTACCAGACCCCCAAATAAGACCCTTGTCCATTTTTTATCTATAAGCAAGACATCCATACATGTATGTGTATTAGAGAGAAAATACAGGAACATTATCGAGTGAGCAGGCCCAACCAATGCCCTGAATAAGCAGCAAGAAATACTTACTAAGTTATACCCGGTACTCTACTAATAAAACACTAATGGTGTACACAGCTTCAATGAGCAGATGGAACTCTTGATTACCCAAGAACACAACCATCTGATAAATGATTGCCATCATCACCAACTTGAAATCATTTAACTTTAAACTAACAAATAGAAAAGAAACTGCAATGAAAACATCACTCTCACGACTGTAATGATTGCACAACTTGAAAACTTTGAACTAAAATGACAAATAGAATAGAAACCAGTGAAAACGTCACTCTCTGCACTACTGTAATGACCACAACTTAAAAACTTTCTTTTTTTTTTACTTTGAACCAACAAATACAATAGAAACTAACGAAAGCATCACTCTCGCGATTATCATTTGACAGGGCCATCAGAGTGTACTTAGTTAGATCAGTAATGTGCCCTCTATTTCAGTCACCGGTACACTCAATGTTACTCTAAAGTAAAATGCCAACTCTACAATTCATCTTCACAACAGTCAGTCATCACTTCATTCTGGTTCAGTGTCACAACAATCTTCTATAACATATATATATATATATATATATATATATATATATATATATATATATATATAATATATATATATATATATATATATATATATATATATATATATATATATATATAATATATATATATATATATATATATATGTATATATATAATATATATATATATATATTATATATATATATATATATATATAATATATATATATATATATATATATATATATATATATATATATATATATATATATATATATATATATATATATATATATATATATATATATATATTATATATATATATATATACATATATATATATATACACATAGCCCTCGGTAGTAGAGGTTACTCCGGTCGATGAGCGTATACAGTGAGCCCTCGGTAGTAGAGGTTACTCCGGTCGATGAGCGTATACAGTGAGCCCTCGGTAGTAGAGGTTACTCCGGTCGATGAGCGTATACAGTGAGCCCTCGTTATAACGCGGTTCACCTTTCACGTTCTCGCTGCTTCACGGATTTGTATTGTGCATTATGTTCTGCATTCTGATTGGCTAAACAGTTTCTCCGCTTCTTCTCTACCTGTGTGTCAATAACGTTACGGTTTAATATGTACATGTACGTAAAACAGCTTGCCAAATTTCAGTTTGCAAATTTTCTCTAAAACCCATGAAGCGTTCAGTTCGCATTGATGATTAAAATCATGATTTTACAGTACAGTAGTTATTTGTAAAAAAAAAACCGTTAATGCAGTACTTTTATTTGTTAAACAAAAGCTTGGGCCTGTAAAAAGGTTTTGTTCTTTGGTTTCAATGTATTATAGAGTATTTCATTGTATAAGAATTGTAAAAAAAAATAAAGTTCAATACTTCACGGATTTCGCCTATCACGGGTTCTTTTTGGAACGTAACCCCCGCGAAAAACGAGGGTTCACTGTAATGGCATTGAGACTGAAGCTTAAATTTAGCTCCATGTCTCTTATTGTTATGTACGCTCTTATTGATGTATCGGACAGTTGTCCACAGCGAGATATTCGTTTTATTTTTTTTATTATTATTATTTTTTTTTTTTGGGGGGGGGTGAGTTCAGTGCGGCATTTGGCTATGAGATGTCTGTCCACCCCCATGGTTCGGGAGCTGATGCCATCAGCGAAAACGGCCTTCTTTTCCAGAACTTTGCAAGGTCCCAGAAATTGAGGATGGTTCTTGGTAGCAGCGCTTTGAGCAAACATCGTTGGACGTGGTAGAGATGCGGGTAATGCAGCCAAGGTGATTGACCATATCCTCGTTAGCACGCGAAAGATTCTCCAGACCTGCAGGGTGTATAGGAGTACCGAGTTCTGTGATGCTGACCGTAGATTAGTTGTGGCTACCTTCCGGGTCCACTTCAAAACTCCCCAGCGGCGTTTCATTTGGACAGGCTGAGGGAGGGGGAGTGTGGCCGGGGTTTTGCTGAGCAGATTGTCTGGGGTGCCGTTGTTCAGCGGCCTGCAAAACCTGACGGAAGCCTGTAGGGGTCGGGGAGAGCATTCAAGGGGCGGAAGCGCTCGAAGGCGAGGCTNTGATCATGCTGACCGCCTAGCAAATTCAGCATGTGACAAAGTGTGGATATAGATCTTGGAGTACCTCTTGCTAGGATTTCACACATAATTAAAACTTCCTTCAAAGAGGACTTGTCTGACTTGATTAATTCTCAACGGCCTGAAAGCTGTAGCATAAAGCACTATGACCGGTTTATGCAAGATGTATTCATCTATGGTTTATACAAAACAAGAACAAGACAGTGTGATATTGTGACCGCAAGAATCAGGCTGGGATATAGATTGTACTGGCAGGTCAGTACAGCCTGTAATGTTGACGAAACTAAGTGTAAATTATGCAATGAAGAATATAAGCGAACACTTGTACATTATATCTCAAAGTGCCATGTAATACAGCCTTTCAGACCACCTAGCATGAGGTATGGAGAACTATGTAACTACTTCATATCATCTGATATCTTAGAAGATATAATTATGTTATATCCTAAATTTGGAATGTAGTATCACAAGACCACATATCAAATGTTACATTGCCTTTTCACGCCCAAGCCGTATGCCGGCTTGATAGATGAGTAGATAAATTACTGATTGCTCTTTTCTTTTAATGATATATTTCAGACCGTAATAATTTTATGATCTAGATTTACACTGTAATACTATTATATAATGCTTTGACCATGTATCAAGTGTACCACAGCTTGCCCACGCCTGTGCAGTTAGCCAGGGTGGTAAATAAAGGACTAAACTAAAAAAAAATCTACAGGAACCCCGACCCACCTTTCGGCAACTCTCTACGGGAATTCACATGTTCCAAACCCCCCCAAAAACATATTGACCAATAAACCAACGTGCCTGAGGGGAGGGTTAATGGGGCGCTCTGCCTCCCAACACCCCCCAGGACACATTCTCTCCACCTCAGTATGTACGGCAAGATAAAGCTGCAGTCACACCGTAAAATAATAAACCAAGTCCCTTCATATCGGGAAACGTCAAACTTTTGTTGCTTCTTTGTACCGTCGGGATTGCTTCGATTTGAATAACTGTCTTCGTCATTTAGAGCTCTTGAAGGGCTCAGATATAAAACTGGGATGGTTACTAGTCTAATTATTCTGCGATGCCACTGTGAAATTCTTAAAAATTACTCAGAATCAACACAACACTGGAAATGCAACATTTCTCACCGGAGTTTTACCATGAAATGAGCGCGCTGTGGTGTGTGACCTGGCAGCAGGAGCAAGAAAATGTGAAACACTCGATGCGCATGATTCTATATGAGGGTATAGATACATATTAAAATATGCAAATGAAGTATAATAACATTAATAAAAGATTTAAAGGCTAAATGTAACAGCACACACAGATAATTAGCCAAGTATCCTATTGATAAGCTTGTAGTAATACACAGACTACACTGGATATCACAATAAAGTGTTCATGGGTCAGTGTTTTGTTATTCCAGGCAAGGTAAACAAGTTGCTGGACTTACGATTTGAAAGGCGAGCGCGCGTTATATTTTCGTCATTTAGCCATGAGTATAAGGCCGCTGCAGCTTAAACTGTGTTCTATCCCACTCAATTTCTTCTGCTCTATAAGATAGCGGTGTTCTTTACTCTCTATCTACGCGCGTCGGTGTCTGTAACTACCTAAAAACATAAGATACTTCCTCGTATCTTATTCGACATGGGACACTTTGGGAGACCTGAATATGGCCAAGACTAAAGCATAAATGATATAAGAAAAACATTAACTACTGTTGCCTGTACATGGCATATATAGATGTATTAATTAAACTAGTACTTGGTGCAATAATATCTATTGCTGCTCCTGTCTAGAGGAGTAACAAAAAATTCAACTGCTGTCACTTCGTTTATTAGCGTGAACTGAAATAATGAAGTACATAAATACAAAGTACAAGAAAATCTAATACACATCAACATAGTCAATCTAACTGAAATGGAACAAAGTAAACATTTCATTTCCTTTAAGAATATCATATAAATATACAAATGCCGCATGGAAATACATTGTAACATCCCTTAAACAATACCAACACACCTTTCAATATAACATCTGGGCTCCAAAGGGTTAACGACTCGGTAACAAATAAGAAATAATGTCCAACCCCCTACAACATTAGCCACATGCAATAACATCCACATTCCTATGACAAAAATGACTATACAAAGCATAGCATATAACCATTATCACATATTTATCAAACACTAATATGCCTTAGCACCAATGTCAAACAAAATGATTGCCTTAATACTCACGAGAATATAAACCACAAAAAAAAAAAAAAAAACTAGAGAAGGGTCAGAACAATCCTTCATCTCCCAAGGTCAGCTTCGAGGGTTCATAAACAGGAGTCTCACGTGATTCAAACACATGAAGCTTCACGAGCCTCCGCCTCTCTATTCGCACAGCAAAATGAAAGGAATCTCATGATTCCATCCGCAATATCCTCATTAACACCATTGTTATTAATAATATACCATGAGTGTGGCATGAAATTCCAACTTCCCATTTTCTTCCAGTTTCAAAACGGGCAGAGGTTAACCAGGTGCTGTTGCTTATATATGACTCCGCCCTCATAAATAGGGGCGTAATCATAGGAAAGTGTAACACGACAGTTGTTCGTGGAAATAAGCTTGCTTATGCGTGCGGCCACTATCAAAGGTTTCGTTTCTTACTCATTCCATCAAACGATTCTTTTATTCATGAACCAGCCCATAAATTTTTATTCGAAGTAAAGGAAATTGAGAATTACCGTGCATTTTTATTTATATTATCAAATATTTTTGTGCATTGGTAATAAGGTCCTTTAGCCATGCATTAACGTTGCGCATTGTGATTATGTATGAAACTTAACGAGATATGAAATCACAATAACAAGAACTACTGAATCTCCTCGTAATAGAAACACCTTTGCCTGTACTAATATCATGTTGAGCTGAGCTATTATGCATACAGGGTGAACTCAGAAGTTGATTTGGATTTTACCATTTACGTAAGCCCATATCAACATGATGATGGCTACAATCACAAAAACAACAGCAACTAATCTCTTCTTTAATTTGTCGGTCAGCACTTTTTTTCTTTTCCGCGCCTCCTTTGATTTCCTTTCGTCTGCATCTTCCATCCAGATGACGGCGTCTCCTGTGATGTCATAATCCTTCAACGATTTCTCGTTCTGCAGCTCGACGCTTCCCGCCTTCAGTCGCTGCCTGTCGACCCCTGGCGCCCCCTCGCGCGTCAGCTCCTGCTTGATGTCGATGACGCGATCAGACGCACTAACAACCAATTTCACTACGTTTCCTGAGGACTGCGCGACGGTGAGTAAAAAACCCGGAGCGCCGAGACCCTGAAGTTCTTCTCTCAAATACAAGGTGTCCTTGTGTTTTATCCCGTAGTCGGATAGCACTTGCGTCCGCCGTATCTTTTTGCCGAAGTAGATGAGGTTCCATCCAGTCAGAGATATTCCCTTTTGCTCGATTTTTTCCCTCGCGTCCTCGACCGAGTCTGATGCAGCTACTTCGACGGGCGTTGTCTTGCCGCTCTTTTCTCGAATGTAGATTAGCATGGTCGCTCTGTTCATTCCCAAGGGCATGATTCCAGCTGTAAAAAGGAAATTAAAATTCCTTGAGAATGAATGAATAAATAAAAAATAACAAACCCGAAAAATGTAAGGGCAGGATATAAAACGATGTTTCTTTGAAAATGGTATCAATTGAAATATATATATATACATATATACATATATATATATATATATATATATATATATATATATATATATATTATTGCAGTTGAGTATTCTCTTAATCTGTCATCTCTTCTACTAGTGAAATAGGGACATTCCTAGTTCACGACGGCATTGTTTGAAAAGGAGGACTATCATCTAACTGAGAAGTGACTCAGACCCTTGTTTCTGCGCATGCGTGACACCGTTCCGTCCCAGGAGCCCCTCCACACTCGCTGGGCCGAGGTCGATAGAGGTCAGGTAGTTAATTACTCTTGTAGATCAGATACCTATTTGAATCAATATTTAAAGGAAAACGCAATTTACAAGAGAAAACAAAATGAAAACTCTGCACAAATTTGCACCATTTCCAGGAGGCGGGAACACTGCGTAAGAAAGAAAACGGGCGACTGCAGTATCGTATACGTAAAAGTTTTATATGCTGTGTAAACCTTAAGTAAATCATAACCCAGTGAAATTAGTTTTTGATTATCTATAATTACCTTAACCATAGGTCTTCAAAAATCATATGATTGTATTAGGACAATGCTCTGAAATGATATTACCGCGTGAACAGCGAGGTGCCATGACTGAATATTTCATTTAAGCAACAATCAAAATGTCTTGCGTGTAATTACTTGGTATATTTGGGTAGTTGTATAGTTGCTTTTTGTTCACTGTAATAGGCAGCTAATGAAAGAACAAATGAAACACAGGAAAGAGAGAGAGAGAGAGAGAGAGAGAGAGAGAGAGAGAGAGAGAGAGAGAGAGAGAGAGAGAGAGAGAGAGAGAGAGAGAGAGAGAGAGAGAGAGAGAGAGAGAGAGGGGGGGGGGGGGGAGATAGATAAACGCGCACATATATTAATCTCTCTCTCTCTACACAAACACACACAGAGGCATATCAATCTGTTTACACATATATACACCTATATCTCCACACACACATATATATAGTTGCATAAGCAACTGTGACTCAAATTTTGAATTACGTCATAGATCACAAAATTTCTCAAACCTAACTGTCAGTCTACACTTATATATACATACCTTATTTGTTATGGACTAAGAGAATCCGCAGATACAACGGAAGAAACGCCAACAGGAGATATTTCACCACAAAACTACCAGACGCTTCTCCCTTTGTTTACATTTCTGTTGCGTCAGTGAGAGTCGGGGTATTTCCCAGCCGTTCTCTGTGATAACGCTTTCCTGTCTTTTTGATTTGAGTTGTTACTATTGAATGTTATGGTAATAGTAATTATATATATATATATATATATATATATATATATATATATATATATATATATATATATATTTTTTTTTTTTTTTTTTATTTTTTTTTGTTGACTTTGTTTGAGCTATATATATTATATATATATATATATATATATATATATATATATATATATATATATATATTTTTTTTTTTTTTTTTTTTTTTTTTTTTTTTTTTATCGTTTTAATGAAACAAGTAGAATTAAAAAAATAATAATAATTACGCATATGGCCAACCTTAGCAATATGGTGGATATAACAGCTTGTTTTTTCTTAGGTGTGTAAGAAAAAAAAAAAACACAAATATTGTAGATAACTGATATACATTTTCTTTTTGAAATAAATAATTCATTATTTTTTGTGTTCAGTCTGTCTATCTTTACCTGCGTCGTCTCAAGAAAGGTGAACTATAAACGGATTTAGAGTAATTAGATTCGCCAAGTCAATTTTGCGAATTGCATCTGGTATGTTAGTGTTCATGTTCGCTTTTCTTGTTTGTCCATTGATGAATTCAACTTATTTTTCGTTAGGTTACATTTGCACTGCTTATGATTTTCTTTTTTTTTTTATATAGAAAGATATAAAAGAAAGTGGGAAAAGGGGCGACTCACTGAACTTGCAAGACGCTGACATCATGGGCCGTGTTATTTGATGGCAACCCATTAATGCTCTGCTTACCTTACCTAACCGTAAATACCCAATCATATCTTTCAACTTACAAAGTGGCCAATGGACAAGCCACCTTATCAATCCTTCCCTTCGAGCCTGATGTAAGCTAAAATATCCAGCAAGTTTGAGGTGTCGTCTCCCTTCTATTTTTCTCTATATACTTTTTTTTTTTTTTTTTTTTTTTCAAGTGGCTAGTTACTCTTAGCGCGTTATCTTCTTTTTCCCAAACATGGGACGTCAGGGTTTTGGGAGAGTGACGTCACAGATCGCTGATTGGCCAGTGGGTGTGCCGCTGCCAGGCGAAAAAGGTGCGGTGAAACTGTCCTACATATCAGTCTACTCACGTCGCTGTGGGAATCACATCCAAAACGTGTATATAATCGAACGAATCCCCACCCCCCCCTCTCTCTCCACTTTTTCTCTTTCGGCAATAGGAATAAACATGCCTGCACAACCCCCTCTCTCTCCTTCTCTCTTTTTTAATTCAGTTTCTCTCTCGGAAATATCAATAAACATGGCTACATAACCCCTATACGAAACTGGTTAAACATTCAACAAAAATGTCAATATGATAAAGGCATATCCATTCATAAATTCATATAGAGCGACCATCCCCATTCGTTTATGCCTCTACAGATACTCAATCCAGACATATCAACTCTCTGAATATCAAGAAGTCATACACGGAAACAGGTCCAAGGACCCAATATCTGGATTAACCTACCACAAAATATTAGAAACATCTCAATCGTGATTACTTTCAAAATGCAATTAAAGGAGCATCTTTTGAATAGTTAATAACATCTTATTTTACGATTCTCCTACTAATGAACTTTTTATTATTTCCAGTTATTTTGTATTACTGTACGCTGCCACTACTTATGAATAAAGAACCATTGCAAATAATGCAATTAAGTGTTCTGACTTGGACTCACTCTCACTTTCTCTCTCCCTCCTTCTCCCCCCCCCCCTCTCTCTCTCTGTGTCTCTCTGTTGTCATTAATATTTTTTATATCTATTCTTTGCATATTGTTACTCCCCGTGCCTCCATTCAGTAATTACCTGTTACAATGAACATGTAACAACAATACAATTTCCCAAATATATCAAGTAATTACATGCAAGTCATTTCAACTCTTGATAAAAAGAAATACTCGTATGCTTTCATGGCACTTCGATGCTCGCGCGGTATTAGTGTTTTCGAGCAATGTCCTAATGCAATATGGTAAATACTCGATTTTTAAAGACCTACAATCAAAATAATATTCGCAGATAATCTAAAACTAGAATTCCTTTAAGTTTACTTTATGTGAGGGACATACAGCATATAAAACTTTTTGTCGACAGATTCTTTTCGGGACACAGTGTTTACGATTGGAAATGGTGCAGTTTTATATGGAGTTTTCATTTTGTTTGAGTTTGCAAGTCGTATTTTCCTTGAAGTATTGTTGCAAAAAAATATGAAAGTTGTAAGAGTACAATAAGCACTGGTGACTGTCGCCTGTTTAGTGATGTATTTCCTGTATTAATTAAAAACAATTTATTCTAACTGGCATCTGTAGTGCTAGACCTAATGCTCAGTAAAGAGCTCTGGGGAGGAAACACTGTCACGCATGCGCAGAAGAAAGGGGGCTGAGCCTGTTCTTGACCAGATGATATGCTCTGCCTCTACATGTCATGAACTCGAAACGACCGGCATCAAACCCGGGAAGCAACCGCGACCTATCCTGGGTGTTGGCCGGGATGTCCCCAGTTTACGCCCAATGACGTCATGACCTCAAAACCCGGCATCAAACCACGGACGCGAAAGTAGCACGGCTTGTCACTTCGGCCGCTGAGTGGTTGTGGGACCAGTACTGACGAATTACAAACGGAAAGATCTAAAACAGAGGTCGGCAACCGATGGCACGAGTGCAAGACTTGGCACGCAGAGCGCTTGACTATGGCACGCTATTTGATTCAAAGGAGCAAAGAAAAAAGTTAAACAGCAAAATAATATATGAGAGAGAGAGAGAGAGAGAGAGAGAGAGAGAGAGAGAGAGAGAGAGAGAGAGAGAGAGAGAGAGAGAGAGAGAGAGAGAGAGAGACGGAGATGGAGACAGAGAGTTTTCTTATTATGGTCAGCTAAATTTTGAAAAGCATATATCTTTGTTACAAAGAATACTAGATGCTACAAAAATATTTATTTATGTTATGCATGCGCAGGAAAATACATTTGGGTATACAGTGCTGAAAAAAAAAAACTGGCACGCAAGGGTATTAATAAGAAGGCATTAATTATAAACTGGCACACTATGCTCAAAAGGTTGCCGACCCCTGATCCAAAAGACGGAGCATCTTCAAAACTTTCTTTGAACTGACCCGCTTGCCGCTGAATATGGGAGTGCATTCGTCCAATTTATTGAAGCAGACGCGCAAGTCAGGATACAGGCAGGACGAGATGGTCTACTGAAAAGGGGAGAAAAAAATATACCTAAAAACAAAACCAAAAGAACATTTTATACCTTTTATATTATTTTTATATATATATATTTTTTTTTTTTAACGCTAGATATCAGCTTTTTAATTCTACCATTTCTCTGTCATTTGATAATTACATCTGCTTTGATTATCGTTTTTTTGTTCACCCATTTCTTCATCGTTTTTAATGTTCAGTTTTGTATCACTTTGTTTGATCCCCCATTAATTTATATGCATTATCAAATTACACCTATGGTCTCCTTCCTCCCACTTCCACTTTGCAAAGTCAGGCCTAGTTGTCACAGCATTAAACTCCACAACCGATGAAACACTTGAACACTTAATTCGGTTCCACAGGAATATCACTGCATTAATTTAATCACCCTATCACCATATCGCTTCATCATCACCACCATCACTGCTCTTCTTTACATCTCTCTTCATTCTTTTCCCTTTCATCATTCACTTGTTTTGCACAGGTTTATTTCGATAAAAGAACATGTATATACATATACAAATTAAAAAACAGCAGGAATAAATAAAAAGGAAAAAAAAGTTGTACTTCCACCACAGCTGCTGCACTGTTAAAAAGATTATATATCTTGCTTACACTGTGGTGGCTAGAGCGCCGGTTGGCAAACCAGCCACCACAGGAAGCATTCAGTGATAATTAATCAACTGAGAGAGCTATAGATAACGACACCGGCCGGGCTACATATAAATAAGGGGGCGAAGCTAACTGAACTGAACTGAGATCATCAACTCACGATCCTCCAGCTGCACCTCCTCAAGCAGCAGTAATTCAACTTGCAATGCTGCCGTTCATCTGTGGATGCATGCATGTCTGTAAACCCTAACCGGTAACTTTCCACGAGTTCTGATTGCTTGAAAGTATACCACAAAGGACAAAAAACGACAATTTTCATGGACAACAATTTTTTTTTTGATTAACTGCAGCATGATACTTCAATGCGAAAGTATTTAAGAATGGTAAAACTTGTGTCAATAATATAATCTATTATGTACAGTCAGCGAGCCGAACGCAACCCCTCCCATGGCCAGTGTTGCCATATGACGATCTCATGACAATATTCGAGGACCAAATATCTGGAGAGTGCATTTCGATTGACCCATGCGTTGATTTGCCTGTGTAATTATAAATCTAATTGTCTTTTAGGATCTATAAATAAGTATTTTCCATTATTGTACTCTCTTAATGACTTAGATAGCGAACAAAAACATATCATACCCAATATCCGTCTTATAAACCCACTTAACTTACTGTTATCAGTATACATGGGTGTAATGTATAGCATGTCCTCTGGTGTCCGCGGTTTGCAAAATTCGGGAACAGGTTGCAATGCTTTGAATGGGGATATATATACTACAAATGGATTGCCAGATGCTTCACGTGGATTATCCTAATATGGATAGGGTTTGGCATATTCACCCTAAACACCATGGACGTCTCACAGTTTAAGAGGAACTGCCGCTAGGACGTGGAATGCAAATTATTGAAATGATAAATCTGTGTGATTTTCCTTTTGATCAACACTGATATCAACGTGCTGATAATAGTGATTTCCATAGTTTGACTTTTCCATATGTAAAAACAGCATGATTTTAAGATCAGCATTTAATATAGATTGAAATGTTTCCTATACATAAAAAATGTGACTGAAACGTGAATTCGACTTGTCTCTCATTTCCCAGAAAGGATGAGCATAAATTCACAGAAAATGAAGACTAGGATACTTTGATACAGACCTTATTTTGCTCATATATATATATATATATATATATATATATATATATATATATATATATATATATATATATATAATATAATATATTCCCTAATAACGTATATAATGTAGAGGCATTTAATGAAATGCACCATTTGATAGTTTTTTTTTTTTTTTAAATACAACACTGAGCTTTAACATATATCCTCATCAGGTCTAAACAACATAAACTACAAAGAAAATGTATCCAATCTCATATATATATATATATATATATATATATATATATATATATATATTTTATTTATTTATTTTTTTTTTTTTTTGCGAGTGTTGCCACTCGATATTCTTGTATCATTTTTTAAATTGTGCATGCAGTTGATCTAACTCGTTTTACTAACTTTTTACTGATTTCCATCAATATGTAATAAAGCAATGCCTACATTCGTAAGTATACGTTGCGAACTGGCTTGCCTCGAAAACATGCGAGTGTAGACAGACCGTATACACATATGCGTCGTCTGCACCGCACTGAGTGGTACCCAAAATATAACGACCACGCGTATACACCGTAAATTGCAGGATATTACATTGGAATTCTTACAGATAACATTATTAATGTATTAATGTATGGGAGTATATATGAATCTACATTTATGATGGTGTCGCATAAATATAGATTACTGTAGGCCTATAACAAGGTAAAACAAATATGACGCAAGATATTGAGAACGTTTTATATACTGATTTATTCCTGTACAATTATGCTCATTCACTGCGCAATAACATCATATCCCTAATAAAATAGTGTCCTTAATTCATCTTCCAAATAACGGCATTGCCCTCTACTGTGCTTATTTTATTTATTCTTGCTAATATCTAATCACCGACACTATGAGAAACATAATTATAATGATCCATAAAAGCTAAATTACATGCAAGTTTATCTGGTAATACATGTGTGGTACATAGTATTCCGTAAATGGATTGCTATGTTTGTAACGAGGGTTGTAATTGGCTGATGACATTTTGCAAATATTCACGGCAGTAAAGTGTTCAGGTGTTCGTTATGAGGAAGGAAGGAAGTCCAACTATATTCTCAGCCTCATAAAGTCTTGAGAATTTCCCTTCTCTGATTTGGTCTGTGATCAACTACCACTTCATTTCTTGTTCAAACTCCCGAAGAAAATTATCTGCAATTAAGTAAAATAATTTCTCAAGGTTTTGAACCTCAAAAATTAGCAATATAAACAAAACATGATCCAGTATGCCTTTATTGGAACTGTACTTGGTTACACACTTGTAACACGTTATTTCTCACACCTATCGCACAGGTGAGTGGTTAGGAACTCAAAATATTCATAAACAGTATTGCAAACTATATCTAGAAGAATTTGTGATGCAGACAGATATTACAGTAATTGAAAATGTTAATCTCATATCTATGATGCATTTTATCCTAGCGTTACCTAACCATCATCAAAGTTTACAGAAGTGCGCTACATAAACCGAAATTTTGCGTCAGTATATGTCAGATTCCAGCCTGAACATGAAAGTCCTAGATCAGAATAGTCTTGGCAAACACGAGGACTTCGGCAAGCTGCAGCTGATCGACGTCGCTGGAGACCCTCTGCACCGCGACGTACTGGCCACATATCCCCGTGCTGTTTGCGAAGCGTATGACACCTTGACTCAGTTCGTAAGGCCCCTTGTAGAATCCCAGCAGCGGCCAGAGGGAGAAGTTGTCATCGATCGGGGGAGTAACTCCGACACG